TAGGAAGATCATCGTACAAGATAAAAATGCACATAATTGGCCGTTTGTATTTATTTGTTGTAAAAATTGATTCTGATCAATAAAACTAGTCGAAGAAAATGTTAGATTTACATAATGCAGTCGTATAATCAGCGTATTATTTATTCAAAGCACTTTTACTTCTTATTGAAATGTACTGAAAGTGTTTTATTTATTTTGTTAAAATGTGCAGACATTAAGGAATCAAATTAATTATAAATATAAGTTAACAATTTACTTAAATTAATATTTTACTTAAAAAGTGGTTACAAGTGAGTAACCCTGAAAGTTTGTTTAAACCATTTAGTTTAATTTAACTACTTTATTTACCTATCGGTAATTTATAACTCTAAATATAAATTGTACCTATTAGATACAATAAATACACATTTTAGTAGTGATTAACGTGAAAAGTGTAAACATTTCAATTCTGTAAAAATCGTCAAACAAATAAGACGTCTAAATTTAATTGGCATTTAGCATTATTAAAAGCGTTGATTAAGAATTCTTTAAAGTCTCCACTCAACGGTAAAATACCATTATATTATGTATTATATATAATATTATGTTGCCATGAATTCGTAGGCATATTTTGTTGTTTAAAATGCAGTTGTCGGCGTTTTTTAAAGAACTCAAATATAAGAATGGTTGATTTTAAGGATATGTTTGTGCAAAAATTATTTTTTATTATTTTTCTTAAAAATGTCCAAACTTAAGTATAAATTATATTAGGTAAAATTATCATTAATTAGTTAATTCTGCACCAACAAAGGTACTTACCGAATTGGATCCTTTGGCAAAACATGAAAATGCAACGATTTAGTTCTTGAATTTTATTTACAATTAAAAACACAATAATTCACCATGATCCTTTAGATAAAATACACACACTAACGTAACTATATAAGCATTTAAGCGTTGAGTTTCTTAATCAATGATTAATCGAAATCGAGTACTATAAAAGTTTTTTAATTTTTTCCTTGCAACGTAAAACACAAATAACGTGCGCGATTTAGCTGTGCAATTGAACGAAATTTGTCGAGTAAGACTTCTGCCTTCCTCTCTTTTGTAAAAAAACTACCTATTTATTTAAAATGATGTATAATCTGTGCTTTAACAATGTTTTAAGATTTGTAGATAAATAATGATTTACAACTTTGTTTACTTTTCTTAAAAGGTTATTATAAATTATTTTTAGTTTTTGAAATTTGGAAAAAAAAGATTCAGGTGCTTCTTTATGGACCCTAAGGAACTACCCATACGTAAAAATATTCCTTGAGCTGCCCACCTCTATAAATATAAAGGAATATAATAATATCGGTTTGAAAGTTTTTAGTGCAATATAAACGTCGCGTCGTCTGAATGAAATACCTCGATTTATCACAATCAATTTGGATTAGTTTCTTACAGCGATATCATTTATAATTATTGACTTTGACCGTAAACGTTCGATAAAATGCACTTTCCTTAAAGGGAATAGGTACGGCAAAATGTTCGAATGTTAAGTTCAAAACCGATATCTCACACAAGAATGTCGCACATGATATACTGAGTGAGGCATTATCAATAGTTCAATGCTATATAAATTTCAAAACATTTTAGAGCATAAATTAGTTTAATATGATTATTTCCCTCATAATAATATGAACCAATCAAAAGCCTTGAATTTTCGAATAAATTTCGTTTAAATAAGCGATTAAATCACTAGAACTATTTAACAGCGATTAAATTTTAGCCTCCATATTGGATATTGTTTACGATTTTATGGTGTTATTTACAAGTTTTAACAAACATTTTTTAAAAAACAATAAAAAATAAATTATCTAGTTTACGAAATATCAATTACTACTTATTACATACCTTAAATTAATGGAATTTTCTTTAAAAAAATATTTATAAATTTTGACACATACGTCAGATTTTATGAATTGTCAAGTAGTTTCCTTTAATTCGAGAAATAATCTAGACGTATATCACTCTATGCTCAGTAAGTTTTTTATTTGATTTTTCTTTTTGGAAAATAGTTTCATGCAAAATATTTAAAAATAAAACCCCTCGACCGCTACGCGGTCTCGTGAATTTATTAAATTATTTTATCTCCACGCGGTCTATAATTTAAACTTTATTGTTGTCAACATTCGATAAAGAAATAACTTGTTATGGCCTAGGCCGATAAAAATTTTTATGAGGCATGTAATTAGTTCGATTTTTTCTCGCTAGGGGTATTGTTTTGACAAATTAATCCTTTTCTAAGAAATTAACGTACTAAACTGGTTTAATTTATTTATAATAAGCACTAATTTGTTTGTTTTACTGTTAATGTTTATTATTTTTCATTAAATTATTGTAAAATTAAATATGAATAATAAAACAAAAAGTGAGGTTAGGACATTGCAATTTGACGTTTCTATAGATTTCACTGTTGTGTTTTCTTTTTCTACGATTTAAATTATCTTTAAGTTTTAATTTGCTTTAAGTTTTCAGTGAAATAAAATGTTAAACACAGCGTAAACATTCCAAACTACCTATTTTTTAATAAAATGCAAACCAATTGAAATTAGATACCTATTTATTAAACAATTAATTGAATTGAATGTAATAGCAAGAGGGTAAGTAAACCATTTTCTTACAAAAATCCATTTCTACTTAAATCATGTAGCTAGGTATTGTCAAACTATTACTGCTTCTAAAAGGAATAATAATTATTGTACATTTAATGTAATCTTTAGCTAATAAATAAATGAGAATCTAAAAAGTGAGGTTAGGACGCTTTCTTGTTGAATTAAATTGACCTATATAAAGTGCTTTGAAGATAAAATGTTGTATGCCATTCGGCCAAGAAGTGTCTTTTTGTGCTTCGCTCAATTGTAGGCCTCCGCTACGCGTCGGCCTTCAAACTTTGAGCTTAGCACAAAAAGCCTTACTTCTTAACCTAATGACATAAATAACTATTGCATTCCATTTTTCATGCAAGAAAAACCAAACAAAAAACCAGTGAGCCTAGTTTAACCGATTAAATTCATAGTTCTCGTGATATAATATATGATTATTTTTCTGTCCCTAAACCTGTGGAACCCCAAAATAACGTAAACTGGGCCCTTAACCTCCAACATTTTGGTTGGACTCGTATAGTGTTCCAAGAATACATGTAGGTACTTCTTGCTAAAATACTAAGGGGTAATCTTCTATTTGGAAAAGAAAACTATTTATTGGTTTAATAACTTTTAATAACCAGTGTACAATAATAAATTTTTCGCGTAGGTATATTTAACCATGGATATAAATGTAATCATAATAAAAATTAATTTAAATGTCTTCCAGGATCAGGTTTTCAATTCAGAAATGGTTAAAGGAATCCGATAAAATTATGTATTTAAATAATGGAAAATGCACATTTTTATCTAGAAACTAAACAACCTTCTACACTACCTTTGAAAAACAGTTAAATGTAAATGAAAATCATTTATTTCATTTAAAATTGAATGTCACTTGCATAACTAAGAATTTTCTTACTTATAAAAACTGGGTTGATTTATTTTATAATTATTGTAATTCTTAGTAGTTTTTATTGTTTTTAAAATACAAGAAAAAACGTAGACTAAAATAATAAATTATTTCTACAATGCTTAAAAAACTGCATCCAAGAAATAACCCGAACATTCCTCCAATATTAACTAAAATTAAAAATTACGGTTCATTAAAACTTTGTTAAAACAATTCTTACTCAAAAGATTGCCAAATCCAAAAATCACATCCCTTTTAAGTCTCATTTTTGGATAATTTATTATTCCCCATCTTAATTCAGTCATATTGTTTTCGTTTATTGCGATTATTTTTTGATCGAGATAGTAGTTATCGTATTCACAATTAGGTAAGCAACTGCATTCTCCTTTTACCAGTATAAGCCTTTCTGAAATTAAATAGTTAGTATATATACATTATAGCAAATAAAACAGGGTGCCTAAAAGTTTTTAAATATTGAATTTTATGATATACAAGAAAGAATTTTTTTTCTTCATTTTTTATTTTTTATTCTCCATTCTTCATTCTTTATCCGAAACAAGGTGTATTAAAAGTTTTCAAGTAATAGATTTTCTACACAAGGGTGGATTATGGTCCCACATAAACCTTACTTTTCTGTAAAATAAATTTTTCTATTCTTTACTGTTAATTATTAATTCTTTATTCTTCAATATTTCTCTTTATACTTCATTATTCCTATTTATTCTTTATTCTCCATGCTTGATTCTTTATTCTTCATTCTTTATTATTTATTTCTTGTTTTTCTTTGTTAATTTTAAATATAGAATTTAACCACAATTTTTTAAATAAAGTCTTCCATTCTTCACTGTTAATTTTTCATTATTTCTTTTCATTCATCATTCTTCATTATTCATTCTTCATTATTTATTCTTTATTCTTTATAATTTATTCTTCATTCATCATTCTTCATTCTTCATTTTTCATTCTTCATTCTTCATTCTTCATTCTTCATTCTTCATTCTTCATTCTTCATTCTTCATTCTTCATTCTTCATTCTTCATTCTTCATTCTTCATTCTTCATTCTTCATTCTTCATTCTTCATTCTTCATTCTTCATTCTTCATTCTTCATTCTTCATTCTTCATTCTTCATTCTTCATTCTTCATTCTTCATTCTTCATTCTTCATTCTTCATTCTTCATTCTTCATTCTTCATTCTTCATTCTTCATTCTTCATTCTTCATTCTTCATTCTTCATTCTTCATTCTTCATTCTAAAAATTTTTTGAACCATGATGTATCAAAAGTTTCAAAGTTGTGGATTTTGTAATATATTCATTATTCAATATTTATTATTCAATATTCATTATTCTTTATTAATTCTTCATTATTTATTATTCATTATTCAATATTTATTATTTATTATTCATTATTCATTATTTATTATTCATTATTCATTATTCATTATTCATTATTAAAAAGGATTTAACCACAAAAACGTTTAAGTACCGTACAATAAAAAATTACCTTTATATTTAGCTAAACAATGTAGATCAATAACCCCGCACACTTCTTCAATCCCTATTCTTCTATAAAAATGAGGCACACATCCACACAACTTTTTGGCCAAAGATATTCTGCATTCCATCCTGCACATGACGTAGGAGTAAATGGGAAAGTGCTTCAAATTATTTTCGTAGTAAAATCTGCATTTTCTTTGATTATGATTGAGACTCTTTGTCAAATTACTGCTTGTTATTGAAAGAGCATTTAGGCTTAACTTCAAGCTGTATCCATTTGACGATGTTACGCCTTTGCTAACTATGTCGGCTACTTCGTATGGACCATGGAAAAATATCTTGAATCCGGATGTAATGTTTAGAACTTCTATAAAGCTTTCACCGTCAAGAAAGTTTACTTTGAAAATATCTTGTTCTTCAACAATATCCCATTGGTCGTTTTCCCAATAGCTAAAATAGTTAATTAAATAAATAATTTTGGGTGAAAAGTTCTTACCTTGGACTACTATAGATTCCTAAATTCGTATTGACACTATAACAAATCCCCATCTCGGTTATTACTTGTTGCAACTTTAATTCAACTCCAGTTGATGTTCTGAAAACCGGTTTAAACTCGTACTGCATCTCCAATAATAAAGTGATGTATTGCTCTTTTTCCAACTCATCAAAATACGGAATCTCATCAAAATTATCATAGGTTCCGGCTGCCAAAGCCAACATAAACTCATAGAAAAGGCTTTTATTGCTAACTGTGCTATACTCGGTTAAATCATGCACCATTTTTTCGTTGATTTTGGCTGTGGGGCAAATTGTAGCTGCTGGAAAGTTGGTGTCCCACGAAAAGTGGTTCCTTTCAATGGTTGTCACAGTTGGATTTTGGATGTAGCGAGTGATTGTCAGATAACTTATGTAGGATGCTCCTGATGTTGCTAAGATTATTATGTTCAACCAGAGTAGTTTTTCAAGTCTGTTTTTACTTAGTACTAGGTGTTTAAAGCCATGTATTGAACTGACTTTTAAATATTTTTTGATGAATGGCGTTTGCGATCGTGATTTGGACTTCATCTTTGTTTAGTGGATTTTATGAACTGCCCCTATAAATTAAAGTATAATTATATTTTAATGTTTATATAGCATGTTTTTGAAGCAATTTTTAAACTTTACAGATAAGGAAAACTATTCATTATTAAAATAAATAAAAATAAGTAAAACCGATTATAAATAAATAATGATATTCGAAATTATACTTTAATAAATTACGTGCAAATCTGTATCACCCTTTGATTTTTTTGCCACATTTTTGTTTTTCTATTTAAAAAGTACCAGTGAAGTTTTAAGGCGGTTTATAAAATAATTGTAATCTTTAGTGTAACAATTTTTTTTGTTTTATTTTATTTATCAAATTTAAAAATTCAAATCCCAACTTCTCCAAAACTAACAAACAGATTTAAAAAAAAAATACAGAACCATATTAAGAATTAAAAGACCTTTGAAATGATATATCAAAATTCGTCCTCCTAAAAATAAAAAATGACGGGTCCAAGGAATTTTGTCCACACTCATCCCATAAAACGTTTGGGTGGGGTACAAGTTTTCGTTGGAACACCCTGTATATACCAGAGACTGACTGTAGATGGCAAAATTTCTGGATTGTATAGCTGAAAATGTCTTTAAAAATGGCTAAAAACATACTTTTGGCTAGGTTATAAAACTCTGACTTTTGACATGTTGGTATTCTAAGGTCCCAAATCTAGGGACCCTATGGTATTATTTATGTAAACGCCATCTATCGCCCTATTTCACTAAATATTTGATGGTTTGGGTAAACATTCACTGTTTGTTTGTCATTGTAACAAAATTATTTCAAACGAGTTTTCCCATTAACTTATAATACAATGCAAATCATTAAATGGAACGCGTAATTTCAACTTCTTTTAAAAGAAGACCTTGCTTCCATTAACATCGTTGTTTACTTATTTTATTATGTATCTATAAATTTGAATAATGCAAGCTCAACCATAATTATGTAATTTACTATAACATAATTATTTACGACCTTTTTGCATGATATAGATTCATAATGTTAAATTATGTGGGAGTAATAACGCCAAAATAGAATTTAAATATTAAAAGTTTGAGGTAGTAAATGAATATTTTCGCGATTAAATACGAGGTGTGTTCAGAAAATAACGGGAATTGTTAAATTTCGCCGGTTCTGAGGGTCCGGTTGTCATAAAATTTTATTTATTATGTTGGTATACATGCCCCCGCAGTATGATAAAAACTTTAGCTGTTTTCATTGTTTACTTTGTCTGTGGCAACCGCTAAGGTTAGACGTGTTTTATGAGCTCGGCGATTTTTCGTTCGTTAAAAGACATGGATCAAAGAATTTGTATCCAATTTTGCTTAAAAAATGAAATAAATTCTGTGAAATGTTAACAAAGGCCTATAGTGAGTCTCTTATAAGTAAAGTAAGTAAGAGTTTACAAGTGGTATAAGAGTTTCCAAGATGGTCGTGAAGACGTTGAAGATGACGAACGCCCCGAACGCACAAGCACATTAACAACCGATAAAGAAATGGTTATAAACCATCAGAGAAGTCGCTGATGATGTTGGTATATCGATTGGCTCATCCCATGAAATTTTTTCGAATGTTTTGGGTATGAAACGCGTGGCAGCAAAATTTGTTCCAAAATCGTTAAATTTTGAACAAAATTTTTGGCCAAAAACAATACTGTAATGATGCCCCAGCCTCCATATTCACCAGACATGCCTCTGTCTGACTTTTTCCTATTCCCAAAAATAAAGAGAACCTTAAAGGGCCGTCGTTTTGCAAGCATAGATGACATTAAAAGCGCATCGCTGAAAGAACTAAATGCTATCCCAAAGATCGATTTTTAGAAGTGTTTCGAGTATTGGAAGAAGAGCTGGCACATGTGCATAATATCCAATGGGGACTATTTTGAAGGCGACAACATTAATGTAGACAAATAAATAAATATTTGTTTCAAAAAACGAAAATTCCCGATATTTTCTGAACACACCTCGTAAATATTTTCGCGATTAAATATGGTGGTAGTTTTTTAATTTTATAACTATACTTAGTTAAAATAAGTTCAACGTTTATACAATTTTCACACCTTCTTTACATATGTAATAACTGACTATGAAGTTGTGGGCACGATTTTTTCTTTGCAAAGAGAAAAAGCCTGAAATACACGCTACTTTCGATTACTGTAGTTTGAGACGCAAAACGTTTGAAACGGAAAAGAAGCGCTGTGAACGATCCTGCTGCAAATGAAATCAAATATGTAATTTACTAAATATATACCTGCGCTATTCTTTTATGCACAAAGCTATAAAGCAAATATTTGCATACAGAAACGAGTTTCTTTACTACATAAAAATTAAGTTAAAAAATGCAATAATCAAAAACGTATTTTACACAGTAAAAAATTTTGCCCGTGTAAATTTTTTAGTGTAGGAGTAAAAATTTTAGAGTTGATTTGTAAGTGTAAAAGTTACACTACAAAATACAGCAGCATTTAGTGCTTATTAACTTTATTAAACACATTTAAAGAACATGAACATTATTCATTGGTACATTCACACTATTTATTATTAAAATAAATCAAAAGGGTAGAAAAACTTAATGCGAGTGTTTATTACCCCTTAATGTGTCAAATAGTGACAAAATGTACACTACAGTGCATGCCAATTTCTTTGTTTGTTTTGATGTTACTAAGAGCTCTTTTTTCTTTAGACTACTAGTGCACATTGTATCACAATTAAAGTTAAATTACACCAATAGTGGCAAAATAGACTGCAAAAACTGCTAATAACCGAAATGTGTTTTAAAATGTTTGGTTGGTACCTATCTACACAGTGTATATCCGGAGATACCGCGTTGTGGAAGTGTGGCATTTTTGTTCAGTTAGATTTTAATTGTATACAATTATATATATTATTATATATATACGGTGAATCCATAAGGGGACATTCCTATTTTTTGGTAAGTATTATACTTCCTTTTTCTTTAAGTCTTAATACTCAATAAATACCAATATGTTAAAAGGATGTCCATACCCGACCTATATTATATATCAATAATTTACGGCAGTAGGTCGGGTACTTGTAAAATTAATAAAATAAATACATACACACTTGATTTACTTTTTATTTTCAAGCGTAATGTTTGTTATATTAACCTATACCTATAGGTATAGGTTAATATAACAAACATTACGCTTGAAAATAAAAAGTAAATCAAGTGTGTATGTATTTATTTTATTAATTTTACAAGTACCCGACCTACTGCCGTAAATTATTATACATTTGTATACATTTTTATTAATATTACTTGTGGTAAATCCCCGACATCCGCCTCACGCCTCTTTACCAATGGGATCACCCATTTTTTTATAACAGAAAAATGGATTACTGATGAATTCTCAAGATAATTCATTGCTTACAAGTTGACAGACAGTAAAATATTGCAATCTAAAACTTTTACGTTTTAAGGAACCATTTTGCTTAAGCCAGCCATACGACTCAAATATAAAATTATATTTTAAAAGGCACCGATTTTGATAATTGTCATAGATGTTCCAAATAAATGTTTCTCTTTATTTACCTTTTCGTTTTATTCACTACCAACAATAGGTTTTACTCAAATAATAGTGTTAATTTACACTAGAAGTTTGCACTAAAAGAGTAAAAGTACCTTTCTAAAATTAGAACTTTTCCAAAGTAGTGTTAAATTACACTGAACAAAAGTGGGATTTTACCCAGGAAGTGTAGAAGTACACGATTTTAGGTAAATTAACACTTTTTAATACAGTATAAAATTACTTTATCCTATATGCTATAGTGTTAAATCATACTTGCTTACTTGGGGGAAAATTACACTACAATTTAACTCTAATTGTAGTGTTATAAAACAACACTATTTAGTGTGGACCTGTGTGAATTACATATTTATAAATGAATTATAAACGCTTTAATATTATAATATAGGTTTACCTAAACATTTAAAATGAAGCAAGAATTTACAAAATGAAAACTTATTATATTATTTTAAAGTTTATCCCATGATTTAATATCCCTCAAGTTGTTTTACATCATTTACAAAACATCTTTGGTTTATATTTTATAAATAAAGTTTATTTATTTTCTTTCCATTTAATTTTTGATCAGATACTGTTGTGGTCGTGTAGAATTTGTACGGAAATATTTGCCATGCAAGAAATTGTAAGTGTTTTCTGTCCATTTTCACTGGCCTATCGAAGAATGCGATAATTTATGGGAGGTTTCAAAGAGCCGTTTATGCAACAGGAATCCAAGCTGAGCCCCTCTCTCGAAAATTGGCCGCAGTTATGCTAATCGACTTAAATTATGGCCACTTGAATCTGACTCAATGGGAGATTAATAGAGGGCCTTTACTTTTGGAATTTTTTAATGGGAATTTTTTAATGCAAATAAATGATTTATATATTCTTTCTCTATTTGAAAACAAATAGTGTAAAGTAGACAGTTATCGGACACTTTATAGTTATTGGACAATTAATATTAATACTGTAAAACAAGAGTTCTATAAATAGTTACCTTAAAGTCAAATCATTAGATTACGCTGTGTTTAAATTACAACAAAAAATATTTCTAAAAAGTGTACAGATCAGTGTTTGGTATAAATGTGTTTCTCATGGTTTAAACATTGTCACTTTAATGCGTTTTAATTTTAATTCTGAAAACAAACAGTAAAATGGCCAGTGTCCAATTACTGGTTGGTAAAAAATGTAAATTTCTATTTTTGGACATACGTCCAATATCATACTCTATTTGTATCCCGGACATTTACCACCCAATTCTTATGTAAAATTGTCCCCTGAATCCGAAAATACCGTCAAAAACTATAAAAGTTAAGCAGTTCTTGAGATATAGTCAATTCCATATTATGTGTAAAGTTGATTATATTTCAAAAACTGTTTTTTACTTTTGTAACTTTTGATGACATTTTCGGATTCAGCGAATAATATTTCATAGGAATTGACTGCTAAATGTCCTGGATACAAATTGCTGT